GTGGTTTTGACATTTCCAAACATTTAATCTGATTATTTCACATATGTCTTGTGTCAAGCCCATACTCTTGATTAGATCGTAGTGTGAGGTGAGGCCTTCTTTTACTCCAGTCAGAATTCCACTTGCAACTTGCCGGTATTTAGGTAGATTGTACAGGGTGTAACCTGGGAATTGGTAGTACTTCAGATTGTCATCCGAAATGTTAGCTTCCATAATTGTGAAAATGTCTACATCATAGGTTTGTAGGATTTTCTGTACTTGGATCTTTTTGTCCGGAGACATTCCTCCAGCATTCCACTGGAGGATCTGAAGACGTTGTGATTCGCCCTGACGAGAGCCGTTTCTCTTATAGCTTCGTCTCAAGCTAATCATAATAAATAGAAGTCAAATGCCGTGTAATAAACTTTTTTGTCGTTTGAATATACGTTGTCCAGGCTGCACCATGTGGAGGTAAATCTATCGCGCACCCCAAGTTGAGGACTGTGGAAATGGTGTAATATGACATACAATCGGGTCATGGTAGTTCGAAGTCAGAAGTCAGCTGGTGGTTTATTGACTTTTTGCCGTATGAGTATACGTTGCCCAGGGTGCACCGCGTGGAGGTAAGTCTATCACGCACTCCTACTCAATATAAGCTTATGAAAACCTTTCCTCTTGTACGATTGTCACTATGGCTGTCTGACAAATAATGTTCATGTATGGAGGCCATGGCTCCATCTCAGGTCTTAAAAGGGGAAGTAGCTGCTGTTTCAGATTCAACTATGTGGATATGAACCTTCGAGGTTAACAGTTACAATGTGGAAATTCTGATTCGTACTATTTGAAAATTATCTAACGGGATAAAATTTTAGACTTGGGGAAGAGTCCTGTATTAGCATTCACTCACTCCCCATGGACCTATCCAAAGTTCAAACAATTGAATCAACATCCCATGATCGTCAGCTAAAATGAGTGTTATAGTTGCAACAAGGGGAGGATAACATTCCTTAATTTTTCCTTTTTAAATATATATTCAATAACTTGTCTATTATCATTTCTTTGCTTCCTTTATTTCGAAAAGTCCTGATTTTGTTCATCCCAACTGGCTTGAGATAAACTTACTTTAATTTTTTGGGGTGTGCGATAGACTTACCTCCATGTGATGCACCCTGGGCAACGTATACTCATGCAGCAAATAAGTCTGTTAACCGGCAGTTAACTTCTGAATTCACGCTATCATGATCCCACTGTATGTCATATTCGACCACTTTCACAGTACTCACCTCACCTTTCATCTACCTTTGTGTCTGTCTCTTTTACATCTTTAAAACACTCTTCTGTTCCCCCCCCCCCTTGACTTTTTTCGATTTGATGTTCCTCTCCCTCTGTGAAGCCCGAAGTCAACTAAAGGGCTGATGATAACTATCATAAAGCCTGCCATTTGTTATAAATACTTTAACTTTGTTTAAATTCATATCTTTAGTCCCTTTTAAACCATGTTCAAAATTCGCTTTGGGCATAGTTAACTTTTCGAATTGATTTGCTTTTTCCATTATTATATCATGCAATTTTCCCTAAAGTGCTAAATACAACTTTGCTGCCTAATCTTAAAGCAACTGTTTTCACCTATTGCCTCTCAAAATCCGTTGGCTATGCTACTTTCCACTGCAGTCGTCTGACTGAAAATTGACATCAGATACCTCCCTGTTTGCCACCTAAAATTATTTTAAATTTATTTAATTTACATTATTTTAGGTCCTCCACAATAAGTCTCGCGCTCATCATCGGGTATTGCTTGAAGCTCTGCGTCCAGCAGGAATGCATGAATCTGAACTGTTGGCCTCTCCTGAAGACTACATTGACTACTACCAACATCAGGTCCACTGGGTTGATTCGCCAGCAGTCCCATTCATCGCAGTTGGTGGACAAACCCGCCTTATTCATCTGGAACTCAAATTAAATGATTATCTGCCAGGAGGAAGTGAAAAAGAACCTCTAATAAACTTCTCAAAATGTCATCAGATTGCTGACTTGAAGGAGCACTATCTCTCTTTTCAAAATATCCCCTTCAACTTGCAACCCGATCCTGTTATACAGGATTTTTTGAAACAACTCGACCCTCACGCCCTAGCCGGTGTCAAAGATGAGGCAGAATTTGAGGATCTAATGTTTCAGCAGTCCCTCTGTATTCAACCTCGTGAAGGAACCACCCCTAATCTATCGAACTTCCCCTCTGCTGAAAGTTCAATGGTGCGCCATACTTAATTCGTTATAAGTAGTTGATGGCATGGCTTTAACATCTGTTTTTTTTATAGAACCGCCAGCTAACTGCCACAGAACTTCGAGTTGGTAACCTAATTAGCGCGGCGCCGATTGATGTGAATATGAAGACTGGGTTTAAAGAGTTTAGGCAGCTTATTGCTATAACGTCCATCTCCCCGGACGCTAAATTTGATTTTGCTACCTCCGCCAATTCAGTTCTACTACCGAATCGGACACCATCTTGCGGTAGTCTTGGTCGTGGCCTAAAGGGTAATTCATTTGTTTCTTTATTATTTTACAGTCTTCTTATTCTGAGAAAATAGGGTCAAATTAATTTGTTTGAGATTGATAGGACGCAGCCATCATGCACAGTGACTAGTTCTGTCTTAAGCAACATGAGAATATCATTTAGTATACCTAAAATCCTTGCATTTCTAAGATTCACTGTTCTGAACGCTAGCGAATGTGCTTCCTCGCTAGCAATCCACACCGAGTCCTTCAAATACAAGAAACAACTGTTGTTATTGACGATAATGACTTATTTCTTCATAATTAACAGTGATTTATTAAAGTTTTTATATGAAATGGCAGGCGTTTTGATAGTTATCATTAGCTCTTTAGCGGACTTCAGGCTCCACAGAGGGGAAGGAACATCAGAGTGAAAAAAGTCGATTGGGGGGGGGGGGGTGGAACAGAAGAGTGTTTCAAAGATGTAAAAGAGCCAAACACAAAGATAGAAAAAAGGTGAGGCGAGTAATGTGGAAGTAGTCAAATATGACATACAGTGGGGGTCTTGGTAGTTTAAAGTCATCTGCTGGTTAAAAGACTTTTGCCGTAAGAGTATACGTTGTCCAGGTTACACCACGTGGAGGTAAGTCTATCGCACACCCCGATTTAATAAAGTAATTGTTGATTAATTACGTTAACCGTTGTAGTCTTTTAATGTAAAATTGACAATCCCGGACACCTGGCTACCACTTTTATCAAATGCACAGGGTTGGATAGGGGGATGGGGGGGGGGTGATTGATTCCTTTACTTTCTTATCGGTCCAAGTTTCCATCTATCGCCTACCAGCCCCTAGGAATAAGAATACGATATTTGCATCTTCTAAGAACTTTAATGCTCCACCGGTTGAGATTAATAATTCGGATTTATTCTGCCTTACCATTTATTATTGCTTCTTAGAATGCTTTTGTAGAATAGAGTCAATGACACTGTTTATCTACTTTAATTGAAATAAGATATAACTCTTTTTTTAAAAAAGCGTTGTTTAATTCAATCCAAACTCGTAGCTCTGTTTTGGGGGTCTGATGTTAATTCATTCCAAATTTGAGAAAAAATGTTCCGTTATGTTCGCTGCCAAATTTTTGAAACCAGCTATTATAGTTCAAAGTTATTTTGGTTTATGGCCGTAAAATATAATCTTTTAACTAGTTTGGCCCTTTGTTAATCATCTACACTCTGGGAACAGCAAAATAGGGCAAAGAAAATTGAACAAGAAGCGGTCGAGCATAAATCCTCCACAAGGTCAGCTCAACAATGATCTTGGTTATAATGCATATAGCTCTTGTTTGAAGTGTGGTTCATTGCTTAGGGTTTTAATGTCCCGAATTTCGGTTTCTTGGAGAAGTCATGCCGTCATATTCAGCCCTTAGTAAGTTGTGGATTTCAGTGAATGGTTGATTACAACATCCAAATACGGGTCGATGTGACTATAGGTAACGCTATTATCAGTCCAGAGTTGACTTCAACTGTTTTCTTATTCTTCCTGTGTTCAGTGCGGGACCAATTGAGTGCATCCTGTTCAGCTTCCTCAACTGAGTGCAGCAGTCGTGTATCGCCAGCCCTGCACATCGAGCCCGGTGCTCCGCCCCCACTCCCACCGAAACCAACTGTCGTCTCTCTGCATGCCAGTCCCTTGCCAGTTGGTGAATGGCGAGATGTGTTTGCCAGTAACTCGGAGCACATCGATGTCACCGATTTTACCACTACTGTGGCTGCTCCTCCTCTTCCTCCTCGAGCGAGTGCTTCACCGTCAATCGATAGAAGTAAGATAATGGCTTTAAGTAATTGCAACTTTCTACAAAGATGGCACTTACAAGAGTCGCAAGCATTGCGCCAACCAAGTCGTAGCTACTATGACTGTTCATGGGCTACTCATTGCTCATACAGGAAACAATCATTAGCCAGTGAAGGTTTTTTTGGAACTTGCAGAAAATTGCACTTCTTACTTGTCGATTAGATTAAGATTATTTAACTGCTCTTGGCCAGCTAGTGATGCATTATTGAGGATACTTCATTCTTGTATGCAATAATATAAAGTCTTCCCTTTAACGCAATGATCAAAATACCAAGCCCTAGATTATCAAATCGATGCTCTCTGATGCACACCCAGTGATGCGGTAGTCAACCTCCTGGGCATGACTGGCCAACGTGAGAGGTGTTAGAATGTGAACTTCCCAGATCCCATCTCTTTGCCCAAGTTAACCATTCGAAGCATTTCTCAAAAGAGGCTGAGACAATTTAGTCTCCGAGGTCCTAATTTCGCTTAACTTTGTTATTTCTACTCCGACATTTGAAACAGCCGATTCCATCCCCCTATTTCGCTATTGTATGGATGTTTTAGATCAAATTCAGCCAACGTTTAAACGCCTGGTGCATACAAGATTTTACGACAAATTGATAAGGCGTGTATTACGGGTATTCTACTCTAAACTCTGAATTTAGACTCCATATCGCTTGTTCTTTAGTTATGGAACTATCCCCTCGTCCATTGGAAGAATGCCATCAGTGTTCTAGGAGTGCAAACCCTACCGCCTCTTTGGAACGACGGTGTCAGTTAGGTGGGCCAGTTGACGGCCGACCCCCACCACCTCCTCCGAAAACTTCGACAAGTCACTTCAGTACCTCCCTTCATTCTAATCCAACTGATGGTAATTCTCCTATCTAATTTAAACTATGACTTCCAAGCACATTTAGGAATGTTTTCCTATTTTCTTCTTTGGAGAGGGGGGGGGAGAGATGGGGTTGCATGTATCCGGTGAGAAAATCGAATCTTTTCACCCTCCTCATTAGCCGACTTTACCAGTTCTGGGTGTACACCGGTGTGTATTTAACGTGCGACTTCGGCAATTACTGAAAAGCTCTCCACCGTTCCACAAATTTTTGATTAATTAGTCCGATTGATATAGGGGCTAAAATGCTTAATATCCAATCAGATTGATAACGAAATAATTGTGTACATGAAGGAGAGAAAACGCCCATAGGAAGTGATGCAGTGGAATGTTGGAGCTTTGAAGCCCACACACACACACACACACACACA